ACTGGGAGAGGGGTTGGCTGGGAGGAGCCGTGGGGCTGGAGGAAGCCGCTCTGGTGGTGAGGATAGCTCAGACTGATGTACGCATGAAAAGGAGAATTAACACAGCATTGTGATCCTCAGAACCTCAGGAAAAGTGGGAAAGAGCAAAAAGAAAAAGGAAAAAATCTCTTTCCAATGCAAAAAGATCATTATTTGAGGCGACGGTGTATTCACTAACCTTATTGTTATAATCACTTACCTTATTGCCATAATAATTTTATGAGCATATTTGTCAACTCATTACCTAGTGCTCCTATGCAAAGTTATATGTCAACTACTGTCACTGTCAGTCACTGTCACTGTCCTCCCGAGCGGGCCCAGTAACATTGTGAGACTTGTTACTGTGTTGGCATATCGAATACGTCACGGGGAGCTTGCCAGGCTTTGCCGTGCTTGCCGAGCTCTCTGAGAGGGGCGGAGGAATCGAACCCGGGTCGGCCATGTTGGCTGCGTAAAAGGCGGACGCCCTACCCGCTGTGCTACCGCTCCAGCCCATGTCAACTACATCTATGTCAATTGTGTGGTTGGGGGTGGGCAAGAAGAAACAGAATAAAATAGTAATACATTTCAAAAACCAAATAAAATAAAAAGTCCTCGGTATCATCTCTACTCTATCACCAGCCAAAATGCAGAAAAAAAGCCCGCAGGGGTGGAGAGAGCTAGTATGTCAGGTAAGGCACTGGCCTTGCATGCAGCCGAGCCTTGCACCCCACATGGTCCCCTGAACCCCAGCAGGGGTGATACCTGAATGCAGTGCCAGGAGTAAGCCCCGAGAACCGCCAGAGCAAAGGAGCCCCTGCTTTCATTTTGGAGGCATCCAGTGTGAACCCCTCGGGGTATGTCCAATTCACCCCAGGCCCCCGGTGAGGGCTGGTGTGTGCCCAGGCAGGCAGGTCCAGTGCTGGCATCATACCCAGGCCCGGGCTCTTCACTGAAACCTGCACACGGCGGACAATGCTCCCTCCTAGGGGACCTCCGGGGAGAGGGTATGGAGAACGAAGCGCCCCCCATATCCCTGCTGACAGCTGTGGGCCCCCCTTGGCCCTCTCCCAGGCCTGGGCTGAGCTGAGCCCCTCCAGGGGTGCTCTCCAGGGGCCTGTCTCCAGCTTCCGGAGTCAGAGAATTCCCAGGATGGATCAGGACAGGGCTGGCCCCAGGCCGCTTGTGGAATTTCCCGCTGCCTGAAGGAGGGGGTCCTGCTCCTTTCCGCTTCATGAAGGGGGTGCGAGGGGGGGCAGGAGAAGGGCCCGGGCGCCAGCCCAGGCGACTGTCTGGACTTCTGGGTGTTCAGAGTTGGGTCCTAGGGAAGCGAAACCTCTGCCTCGCAGGTGCTCCCAGGCCCACTCTCCTGCTCCGTCTCCGGTGCCGAAGCTTCGCTGGAGACGCGCTGCCGAGCTGGTGTGCGAGGAGCCGATCTGCGCTTGTCTCTGTGAGTGCTCCCCGGAGCACCAGCCGACTTCCTCTTCAGTTCCCTGGCACCTTCCTCCTCCAGTTCCCAGCGGGGGATCAGCTAGTGACCTCCGAGCACCTCCGCTGACTCCTGTCCCCCTCCATTTCAGGAAGATTGTGACCCGGACTGGCTAAGCCATACCCTGTGATGACAAGGTCAGGCCCAGGAGTGCAGTTCGGGAAGGTCATGTGACCGATGATTGCATGTGCGTGGGGGCCCGAGCCCTCCGCATAGCCTCACTTTGCGTTTCTGAGAGGCTGGGGCGGAGAGGGGGTCCCAAGCGCCCTCCAGGATCTTAGCGGCAATGTGCATTCTCCGCCACAAGCTAACCTGAGTCCCGTTCGAACCCTGCTCTCTCCGCTGGATAAAAAAATGTGTACTGGGGACCAGAGAGTTAGTACAGTGAGTAGGACAGCTGGCTAGCACGTGGCAGACCCAGGTTTGATTTCCGGGCCCCCATATGGTCCCCTGAGCTCTGCTGGGAGTACTGGTGTGTTGGTGCTCTCAGTCATCCCAGTGTCCATCCCACCAGACCCCCAAATCCACACCTGCTTTCTGATTCTTCTTCCTGTCTCAGCCCATCGAGGCGCAGAAGCCCACGGCACTGGTGTTCTGGGGGTGCCAAAGTGGCCGAGCAGTGCAGCCGGTCCCCTCGCTGTCCCTCAGGGAACACAAGGACCCAGGCACCAGATGGTCCATTTCAGTGCCCCCGGCCACCCCCTTCACCGAGTAAAAGAAAGGGAACAGGCACAAGTTGTTCAAGTGACGTATTTCAATATAATCTCTAAAATTCTATGAATTGAACAGATAAAATACCTCTGGGCTATTTTGTTACAAAATATTTGCCATTTGGATTCGTTGCTGGGTGCAGCTGCCCTGCCTTTCCCCAGAGAGGTTCTCTCTGATGGTGTGAAGGGTAGGGGGCAGATAGGGGCGCCCCTTTGTAGGGGAGGGGAAGCAAGAAGGTATGTACAGCAGACACGGGGGTGGGGTCAGACGGTTGGGGGGAAGCCTAGTTGGGGGCCAAGAGATGTTCTGGCAGGATATTGGAAGACAGGAGTGGGTAAGGGTCTTGGCGGGAAAGGACTCAGGGCTGAGAGATTTGTGCGCCTCTGGAGACAGCCAGGCAGCCTCTGGAACACACCGTGGCGGAGTCTCACCCCAAGGCAGGGCCCGGCACCCCCCAGAATGGTGGGAAAAGCTCCTTTTACCTCCCACTTTTATTATTCTGGAACTGGGACCAAATGAACACAACTGGAGGGGGACGGCCCAGTCCCCCAAAACTAAGGCCTGGGAGAGTTAATAGAGGTGGGGCATCTTGGGGTACTTGGGCTGCACCCAGGAAGCCGTGACTGGGGTCCGCCAGCACTTGGTAGCCCCTCCCATCCCGAGAGCAACTCCATCTCCAGCCACACCCGCTGAGGGAACCAGAAGGCTCCCAGTGTGGCTCCTCTGGGGAGGGGCATGAGGCTGGTCTAGCCTTGGGGCCTGGGCTCTGGGCAGGGGCCACAGGGGCTCCCAGGCCCGGCCCGTGATGGAGGCGCATGCGGGGAAGATTTCACCCCGCTCTGGACCCCAGCTCAGGCTGGGCTGCGAGGCAGAAGTGCCAGTCCCGGAGGGGGCAGCGGCCTGGGCGAGCAACCCCCTTGGGGAGGGCCCCTGAGGCTGACACAGTAGGGGGCAGATAGGGGCGCCCATCGAGGTGCAGAAGTGGGGGGGGTCACCAGATGTCCACACTGTCCTCGGGGGTTTCAGCAGAGTTCGGGAGCAGGGACTTTGGTGTGTACAGCCTACCAGAGACCCGATGTGAGGGGTGCTGGGGCCCTTCCCATCTGCGTGTGGACCCCCGTGGAAGGCTTTCACAGTCACACCTCTCTGCTCTTCCATTACTTCCCTTCTGTTCTCGGGCCCCCTCATTCAAGAGTACCCCCTCCCCAATCCCAGTCACCCAACCCGTCACTGTGCATGCACTGCCCTGGCCTGGCCGAGGGCTTTGGGGTGTCAGGAACCCCTCGCCCCTGCCCCTGCCAGCTACCCCCCGCCCCCGGTTCCGGAAAAGATGTGGGAGAGGGGGCATCGGACAGAGGGGGGGCAGGTCAGGGTCTCCATGGGAGGGAGGCTGGGGCTCAGTTCTGGCAGCTGGGCTGACAGAGACCAGAAATCAACCCTTGGGAGACATCTGGTGACCCCCACACACACCTGGACTCAGGGTGCAGCGAGGAACACCCGGTTCTACCTGGCCAGGGAGTCAGGGAGCCCCACTTGCCTCTCCTTTGCACGTGGGAGGGTTCGGACTCTCTCAGCCACCCTGGCTAGAGGGGTGCTGCAGTCCGGGAAGTCGGGGGGGATATCTAGTGTGTCAGGGGGCTAAGGGACGAGAGGCTAGTTTGGAACGCGGGTGAGGAAAGGCAGATACCTCTGGGTCCCCCCTCTCGCGCCCACAGGGAGGCTGGCTGCTGGCTTCACGCAAGAATGTGCCTCCAGGGGTCAGAGCAATAGCACAGCAGGGAGGGCGCTTGCCTTGCACGTGGCTGAGCCGGGTTCAAACCCCGCATCCCACATGGTTGCCCCAAGCACTGCCAGGATCCATTCCTGAGTGCAGAGCCAGTAGTACATCGCTGGGTGTAACCCCCCAAATAATAATGATAATAATAATAACAGTAATAATAATATGCGTCCCTCGTCCGCCACCTGCTGGCCACCTCTCCTCCGTCCCTGCTGCTGCTGTGGTTCTCCCTTTGTGCTGGCTGGGGACTCTGCGCTTGGTCAAGGTTGGGCCTGGGGCCCGCACTCGTGCGCTGGAGACTGAACCTGGGGCTTCCGGCAGGCAGATCACACGCCGCCCCCCCCCCCCCCCCCAGGCCTCTCCGGGTGGTGACCCTCGCCACCACCACTAACCTTGAGACAGGAGGACCAAGAGGCTCTCGACAAAGGTGGACGGTTCCCCTCCCGCCGCCTGGAGAACTGGCCTAGGGAGGGAGGGCCTGCTCTTTCTCAGCCCTTCCCTGGGGTCTGGGCAGCCCCGGGCAGCGGACCCCAACTCCCGAGGAAGCAGGAGACCCCAGGGAGGAGGGGGAGGATGAGGCAATCTCCTTTGAGAACTGCAGGTTTGGGGAGAAAGCGGGAGCAGCAGAGATGACCACCCTCCCCCTGCACCCCTCCGCCCTCCCACCGGACGGACGAGGGCCCTGGGGACAGCCCTGTGCCCCCCAGCATGGCGCCTACAGGGCAGTGGGCCAGGCCACCTGGGGTTCAGACTCCAAGTGGCCCTTGGAAGCAGAGACCCGGCCGTGTCTGGATGCTGAGGAACGCCCAAGAGTGAGTGACGGCTTCTGGGCTGGGGGGGTGGGGTGGGTGGGGGGATGCTCAGCTCGGCCAGGGAAGCTCAGCGCAGGGGAGAGTCGGACCCGGGTCCCGGAAGCGGGTGCCAGGGAAGCTCAGCGCAGGGGAGAGTCGGACCCGGGTTCCGGGGACGGGGGTTCCCTTCCACCGGGGCGAGGGGCCACCCGGAGTCTACACCAGGCTCCGGGAGCCGCTGGAGTGACGGCGGCGGTGCAGCAGGGAGCCGGGCGGGCAGAACTGGTGCGGGTGGTTGTAGGGCGGGGGCGGCGGGGGCAGTGGGGGCCGGTGGCCGGCCTTGACCGGGGAGCCCGGGCCCCCCAGGGAGGCAGAGCCGCAGGAGTCGGAGGACGAGGAGGCGGCGTAGCAGGACAGGGCCCGGCTCAGCAGGGGCTCCATGCGGGCCAAGCAGGGCTTGTCCAGCACGATGACCTTGACAATCTGCTGGCACTGCACCAGGGTCCCGGGGGGCGTGGGCGGTGGCAGCCGGGGCGGCGGGGGCTGTTCCCTCAGGGGGCTAGGCTGCAGGTCTGGCTTCGGGGCACCCGGGTCGGGCCCCAGCCCGGGGCTGTGCTGGGCCGTTTGAAGCCTGTTGTGAATTGACACCTAGTTTAGAAACAGCCAGAGAAGCATGAAATGTTACAGGACTAATTCCCAGCGGCTGGGGGGGCTACCCTGAGCCCCTCCCCCTCCTGACCCCACCCCAGCCCCTGTCTCCTGTGTCCCCTGGACACTCTCCCGCACCCTCCCCCTGGCTCTCCACCCCGAGGAAAGCCGGCAGCCAAGCGGAGGGGTCCCCCCTTGGGGTGGAGCCAGGAGCCGAGGCCCGGCAGCCCCTGCTGGCCACAGGCCCTCACGGCTCTGCAGGAGGAGTCCTGTGGGGTGCTGGTCAGGGTCAGCACCCCGCTCCACCTTGGAGAGAGGCACGAACTGGCCTGACCTCTCTCCAGAAATGCTGGGATCCAGGGAGCTCAGGCACACGATCCGGGACCGCCCGCTCCCCTGGCCCTCTCAAGCCCCAGAAGGCCGGGGGTCCCCTACGTGATCTTCGCCCTCTCCCACCCAGGCTAAAGTCCAGCTGCCTCATAGGAGGCCTACCCCCAAAGGAGCGTGGCATGAGGAAGGGGCCCCTCCTCGGCCCGTGGGGGCGCGGGGCAGGGTCAGCTAGCCTGGCCTCCTTGTGCCATCGGCAGAGGTGGAAGACGGGGGCGGGGGGGGGGACCTGTTCAGTATTTCTCAACCCTTTCCCCAACGTGGGCCGCTTCCAACCCTGTCACACTGGTCGCCCCCACCCCGGCCCTACCCCCAACCTCATGTGCTCTCGTTTACGTCCTTTTCCCACGTGGTGCCTTGAAACATCCCGGGGTTTCGCAGGGGACCCTGTGGCAGTTGGGTTGAGAAATGCTGGACTAGAAGATTCTAGAAGGAGAGAGGTTTCTTCATACTGGCCCAGCTCCTAGCCAGGAGATCTGACATACCCCAATCCTCTTCAAATACCCGAGCCCTTTGGTGGGGGTGGGGGGAGGTAAGGGGGCTGCAAAACCCCTCCCCCCTAAAGGTGGGGTCTACTGCCCTGGACACGAGCACCCAGGATGGGCTGCTCAGAGGAGGGGGGAAATCGAGGCTGCAGGGGACGGACCTGACTCCCTGCCCTCCATCAGCAGGGCCCAGCCCCGCAATCTCAGAGCCCTAACTAGGAGACCCCAGCCCTCCTGGTGCAAAGGGGCGATCTCGGGGCCCCTGCCCGGACCCCCGAAATCCCAGGGGGACTGCCGCCTCCCCCGTCCCACAGGTCCCTTGGCTAGGATTCTTAATCTTCGATGGCCAGTGCATGAAAAGCAGGAAGTGACAGCGCCATGCCCAGCGCCTCCCGTCTCCAAAGCATGTGCTAGGTTTGAGACCTCAACGCAGCGAAGACCTCGGGCAGAGAGCAAGCAGAGAGCCTCGCTAGGGTCCACCTTCCTCCTAGGAGGCCCTGGGTGCCTGAGGAGGCCTCTGGGCCCGCACTGCACGGTAGGGAAAGGGGGGCTGGGCCCTTCCCCAGCCTGCCAGCAGGCGGAGTTATCCTGGGGAGAAAGGTGCCAGGGCCAAACTCCTCTGCTGCTCCTCCGGGCAAGTGCTGGCCGCCCCACACACCCGCTTCTTACTCCTCCCTGGCTGGGCCCCCACTGGCCTGTCGGCTTGCAGCTCGTGGGCCCGTCTTGCACCCTCTCTCCGCCCCTCTCTGTTCTGAGTTCCCTCTCTCGGTGCCTCCCTTGCCCCCACCTGCCTGATCGTTCATGGCCAGTAAGGGAAGAGCAGGAAGTGAGAGCAAACTCTCCTTTCATTTGGACCCCCTTCTCCTTCCCCACTGATGAAAGGAGAGAGAGCAAGTGAGAAAGAGAGCGGGAGAAAGGAAGAGAGGAAGAGGGAGAGAGGGTGGACGATGAGTAGCCAGTCACAACAGCTCAGAGAGGATGGAGAAGCACCTGCCGCGATGGAGAGAGCTGGGGGCTAGCTGAGCGGAGAGGGGCTGGTGAGCTGCCCTCTGTGCAGGGGGCGGGGCTGGCAGGACCCTGGGGCTAGCCCAGGGTGGCAGCCTTGCAGATAGTCACATGGTGGAGAGGCGAGCTCCGGACTGGGGGTCCTCCCTAGACAGGGCAGGGCAAACACGGTGTGTTTATCTGCAAGGCTGGAGGATGGGCGGCCGCAGGAAGATGGGGGTGTGCGGGGCAGAGGATGGAATACCCACCCTGGGAGTGCTCAGCTGCCGGGGCAGGAAGCTCCTCCGTGTAAAGGTGCCACCTCCGGACACAGGTGTGGGGTGGGGGGGGGGGGATGAGAAGAGAAATGGCTCCTGGGGGTGTCCCAGGCCCCCCAGGGTTTAGGCTGGTGGGAAGGGCTGGTCCCTTGGGCCTCTCGGGCATGTGCTTACGGGCTCATAGTGGAGGGTGGGAAAGGAGGTGTCTAGGGGCCCCCAGCCCCTGGAGGCCTGACAGAGAAGGAATGGGGGGGGCTGGAAGGGGTTAAGGAAACCTGGGGGAGGGGATCTGGGGCCTAGCAGAATTTTTCAGAGGCAACTGCAGGCCCCCGAGGTGCCAGTGTGGGGTGTGCTGAGGCCCAGTGCTGGCTCCAACTGCGGGTGGCCATCTGCCCACGTGGCTGGGGCTGGGAATCCGCTTCCCGCAAGGGGAGCCGCCTGCAGAGAGACCAGCTCTCCTGAAGGCCATCCTCTGAGACCAACGCGCCGGGGGCCCCTTTGGCCACCTGCAGGAGCCGCCCGTTCAGAGGCCCCAGCGACACCAGGGAGACGTTCCACCCTCCCCGCTGGCCAATCTCCAACTTCCCCCAGCAGCATCCAGTGAGGACAGGGCCCGCCCGGAAGTCATCCCTTGGGGCTGCCAGAACTGGGGACTGACTGACTGCCCGCTCTGGCCAATAGGAGGCCGCAGCAGGGCCCGGGGGGCGGGCATTGGGGGATTGAGAGTGTTGCTCTCTGATTAGGATGCTCGCTAGGGGAGCGGGGCTGGGGTGGCTCTGGGGGGGGGGGGGGGACACCTGGCGTTCATCCCTGCCCTGTCGATTTGGGAGCCTGGAGGGTGATGCGCTGGGCAGGTGGGGCCGGGGCGGGGGTGGACAGTGCCGGGGCTTAGTTAGGCGCTGGAAGAGTGGCATTACCCATGCTAGCAGTAACTTTTAATTGTATCTCTTGAAATTGGTAAAATGGTGAGTCGGGCTGGGGAGGCATTGATTAATACCTGAGAAGAGAAACAACAGAGACGGTGAGAAGGAGGCCAGAGGGGGGCACGGAATCACTCACCTGGGCGGCCAGGCCTCCACTTACCTCCACCGTGCTCTCCACGGGCTTCTCCCCCAGCGCGGCCTCCCTTTTGGCTTTGAATGCAAACAGCACAGGGCTCATTCTCCATGCTCGCCCAGAGCCCCTCCCTGCCCCCCCAGCCCGGTTATCTCCGACGGGTGCAGGCACTACGTTTCTGGGTACCGTGCCATCCCTGACTGAGAGGCCGCCTGGGGACAGTGGATGAAAGAGCCCAGCCCTGCCACTTAGCAAGACGCTACACCTCTCTGGGCCTCTTTCGGACCTGGGCACTAGGGAGTCTACCCTACCACAGTCGCACTCTCCCTGCTAGGGTCTGTGAAAGCTGGTTATGAGGGAGAACTGCTTCCTGGCTCCCTGCTGGTGGGCACCACCCCAAGACGCCTCCTTTGGTCACAGGCTCTTGGAGAAAGGTGCCTTGGTTCTTGCTGGCTCCCACGCTTAGCTGGCTGGTGAGGAGTCAATGAGCTGAGCTCTTTGCACAGTGCTTTCCTCAGAGCTGGTAATGGCTCTGTGACTGCAGCAGAGGGCCTTCTCTCTGGCCTGTCGCTGCCCTCAGGGCTGCTGCAGAACCCCAGGGAGAGATTGATGACTCCCCCACCCCCAGCTTAGTCAACCCCTCTCTGCCCACCTCCACCCCAGCAGGCAACCCCAGCCTCTTGGCTGCACCCACCCCCCAAACACCCCAGATAGGCTCCTCCCTCTGCTTTCTGCAGCTGAAAGCAGGAGCTGGGCCGCTGCTGGGGAGGCGCCTGATGGGCAAGGCCAGGCGTGCTCCAAGGCAGGCCGGGAGGCAGCGAGTGGGCGGGTGTCAGGCAGTGAGTCACAGCTGAGACTTGGCTCCACCAGCTCATCAGCTGCGCAAACAAGCAGTGAGCCCGGTTCAGGGACCCCCGAGGAATGAAGGGGTCGACTGGAAATCAGCGGGGCAAGAATAGTGACTCTCAGGATGACAGGTCGCCGGCGCTGCCGAAGGCGACAGCCCAGGGAGCATCGCCAGGGAGTGCAGCCCAGAGGAGCCCCAAGCCTGCCTGGAAAAAGGACTCGCGTCTCTGAGTGGGTGTGAGTGCTCCCGGGAGCAGGCTGCCCCAGGTCTGGCTTCTTTGGCCAACAGCATGAGACCCTCTGGGGCCCCCAGTCCACGCCAACGGCTTGCTCGACTCTCCTTTCCAGTGCGTAGGAGGGCAGGTCTCCCCAGCTACCCAGGGCAGGCAAGCAGCATTGTTAAAGAAAGAAGGCGCAATTGAACGGACGAGGGGACAGTTCTACAGGGCCTGTTGGGGCTTTATTGGGATGGGAGTTGATTCCTTTGCTACTGAGATATATATATATACACACATATATATATTCGGTGGGGGAAGGTCTTAAGCAATATTCAAGGGACCTGGGGTAATATTCAACTCCTGACAATACTCAGCCAACTGGGTTGGATGGTTCAATACTTGGCTTTGATCAAAGGATGCTGCTTGGGCCCAGCATAGGGCCGTGTGGTACTGGGGATCGAACTGTGGCCTTAAGCATGTGTTCGCGCTCTCCGAACTGTGTCCCTGATCCGCCCTATCTAATTTTCCATGGGAGACAGGGGAAAGCGAAGGCCATTCTTCCCGTGTCCCAGAAGTTGGGGGACAAGGACAGAGGGGCACAAGAAGCAGAGAGGGAGGAGGATTTCCATGGGAGGAAGCTTTCGTGTGGCCAAAGTACCAAAGAGTCTGGTGCTCAGAGTGGAGTGATGAGCTCAGTTTGACGGAACCATTCAACAAGCTGGGTTTGGGGCCAGAGCGACAGTCCAGTGGAGAGGGCACTTGCCTTGCACGCGGCCAAACGGGGTTCAATTCCCAGCCACCCATATGGCCCCCAAGCATCTCCAGGAGTGATTCCTGAGTGCAGAGCCAGGAATAAGCCCTGAGCCCTGCCTTGAGTGTAAACCAGCACCACCCCCAACTCCCCACCCCTCCCAAAAAAAAAATTGGGTCGGATGGTTTATCTGGGGCTGGAACTCATCAGTTAAAGGGCTGATGGGGCCAGTGAAGACTTGTCGCCTCCTGGCTGCCCTTCCTTCTTCCCCCGTGCCGACAGCCTTAGTTCCCACATACTTTGCCTCTACCACACCTCTAAGCAGACCCTGGGACCCAAGACCGAGGACTGGGTCCTGGGCGTGGTGCCATCTGTGAGCGGGCATGCTTCCTGCTCCTCCTCCCCCTGGCTCCTGATGCCCAGGCCGGAGGAGGGACGTGCAAAGGAGTGGGCGCAGAAAGGGGACCGCTACCTGCCCCCCAGTGCCCCAGGCAACGCCGCCCAGGCCCCAGCCCACGCCCCAGGAACCTTCACTTGGGCCAGCCCTGGCGGAGGATGGGGCCCAGCTCACCTGTAGGCGATCCCTGCTTGGACTGTGGGTCCCCTTGGGGTCCCCCAGACTTGAAGGAGAGCGTCTTTGCTCCCTGCTGCTTCTCCAGCTCCCCTAGGGAATGAGCAGAGAGACACCCTACCCTCAGCTACACGGCAGGGGGAGAAGTGAGGAGAGAGGACGCGAGAGCAATAGAGGCGCACCCGAACACGTGCTCCGGAACGTGGGCCTGGGAGTCTGACTGCCCCTTTCCAAGGCCAACTCGACACCCACTAGGGCCTCGGTTTGCTACTCTGTGCCGCAGGGGCTTACTTCAAAGAGTCGTTAAGCATAGTGCACAACACTGAGCTGCAAAGATAAAGAACTATGGCACGTCTACACAGTGGAACACTACTCAGTCGCCAGGAAAAATGAAGTCATGAAATTTGCTTATACGTGGATGGACATGGAGAGTACTATGCTGAGTGAAGTAAGTTAGAAGGAGAAGGTCAGGCACGGAAGGACTGCACTCGTTTGTATGAGACTAATAAGGCAAACTATGAGACTAAGCCCAAAGGACAGTAGAAACCGGAGCCAGGAGGACTGGTGGATGGTTGGAAGCCTGTCACAAATGGGGTGGGGGACGGGGAGGCAGTTAGGCAAAGGGATATGATAACCTTTACCTGTATTGCAAACCCATAATGCGCCCAAAGGGGGGTGGAGGAGGGAGGGAGAGAGAAAGAGAGAAGGAGGGAGGGAGGGAGGGAGAGAATAATACAAGGGAATAAAACCCTCTAGAGGCAAGCTGGGTAGGGGTGTGGGGTTTGGCAGGAGAGAAACTGGTGACATTGGAGGTGGGAAATGTGCACTGGGGAAGGGATGGGTGTGGGAACATTGGATGACTGACACCAATCATGAACAACTTTGTAACTGTGTATCTCATGGTGATTTAATTAAAAAAAAAGGGGGGGGTGGAAAGTGATGTGAGGGAACCTGGGGACACTGGGAAATGTACACTGGGGGAGGGATGGGTGTTGGAACACCGTATGACTGAAATCCGATCATGAACAGCTCTGTAATGGTCTATCTCACAGTGATTCAATAAAAACGTTTTTAAAAAAGGGGGGAGGATTACATGAGAGAAGAGCCAGAAGTAAGCCCTGAGGACATGGGTGTGACCCACCTGGCAAATTACAAAAAAAAAAAAAAGGACAGGGGACAGGGGCTGGTATAGCAGATGAGATGCTTTCTTTGCACACAGCTGACCTGGGTTCAATCCCCAACACATATGGTCTCTGAGCTTGCAGGGCATGATCCCCTGGACACAGAGCCTAGGAGTAAGCACTGCCAAATGTGCCCCCCACCCAAAAGCTTGCTGGTTTTTTTTTTTTTTAAAGAGGATCCAGGGGCTAAAGTGATAGCACTGCAGGTAGGGCATTTGCCTTACACGCGGCCGACCCGGGTTTGATTCCCAGCATCCCATATGATCCTTCGAGCACTGCCAGGAGCAATCCCTGTGCATAGCCGGGTGTGACCCAAAAAGCAAAAAATAAATAAATGAAAAATAAATAAAAGAGGATCCATCAGCCTGGCATGGCCTGTCTCTGTGCTCACCCTGAACTCCTCTCCTTATCCCACGCCTCTTTCTCCTCATTCTCTGCCCAAGAACAGCAGATTTGATCATCATCAGCCATCACTCCTTCAGCACCTCTTCTAAGGTTTCTTTCATGAAAGCGACCCCCCACCCCCGCCATCGCCCCACCTTTTCTTTCTTTTTTTTTTTTTTTTTGCCTCTCTGGTTGTCAAGAACCTAGGAACTCTAGACTGCAAACCCCCAACCAGACCGCTTTGTTCTGCTGGCCCAAACCAGGCCATCATCAGTCCTGATTACTCAACCGGGACTTACTCTCCTCCACACCCCCCGCCCCCCCCAGGGGTTCGCTGGGCTTTGGAGAAATTAGCCCAGTAATTACAAACCAGGAGTCCAAGGCACCAGGGTGCAAATCTAGTTTTGTCACTGCCTGCGGGAACTTGGACCATTTCCTTAAGCTCCGCAGATCTCAATTTCCTTCTTTGTGAAATAAGGCTACTACGGACTCACCTCTTGCAAAGCTGTTGCCAGAAATCAATCCTACAGTCGGCTCAGCGGTCCGCCCAGAGCTGGGTGTGGAATGAGTGTTTGATAAATGGTAGTTGTTTTTTCATTTTCTTTTTTGGCGGCCTGCTGTTCCTCTCGGCACCTTTCATTCCTCTCCCTCCCTTTTCTCGCCACCGGAAAATGAAGAGCCCAAAGCAAGCCTTTCGCCCTGCACCCCTGTCTTCAGGCCTGGGAGAGGTCAGACACCTCTTGACATAACAGTCAGGCGCTCTCCACTCCCCGGGCATCTGACACGCTCCCCCAGGGCTGAGGAGGGGAAGAGGAGCCTCTTGTAAGAGCGCTGCTCCCCAGGGCCCAGCAGAGACAGCTGCGACATTTGGAGGAGAGCAGTGCAAGTTCAGGCTGTGTCCTTGGGCACGGTCAGGATCAACAGCCCACGAGGCATCTCTGAGCAGCCCTGGTAGCCTTCGCAAAGAGTGTTTGTCGCACCTTGAACTCAAGTTCCCGCCCCCTCCACCAAGTTGGCGCCTGAGCTCTCCGGTCTGGTCTGTGTTAGCATGGGGATCTGTTTGAACTTGTGTGAGTTGTTTTTGTAAGAAATGAATGATTCACTGAATCTCTGGTGCTGAGCCTGCGAAGCGTAAGAACCGTGGGTTAAACTGCAGTGCAGAGCCTGCTTCTGGGGACCTCAGGGCCTGGCCCCTGTGGGAGGTCTGAGGGGAGGATGTCATCATCACTCCAAAAGCACCCCCCCGGGGGATGGGGACATAGTCCCAGGGGTGGAACACGTACCAAATTTGATCCCTGGCAGAGTTGAGGTGACCTGTCCCAGAGCACTCCTCGGCCCGAGGACTAAACTGTTAGGCTTTCTCCTCCAGGTGGAACGTGCTGGGAGCATCCCTGGGGTCCCTGCAGCACTATGGGGGGGGAGGCGGCTCAGAGGTCCCTAATTTTTTTTTTAAAGAGGCACCTCCTTACTAAACTGGGCCTGCTCAAAACCCACTGGCCTTTCCCATTGCTGACTGAAATTTGATTCATGTACTTTTCAGATCACAGCAGTAGGGCGTTTGCCTTACAAGCGGCCAACATGGCCAACTCGAGTTCGATTCCTCCGTCCCTCTCGGAGAGCCCGGCAAGCTACCGAGAGTATCTCGCCCGCACGGCAGAGCCTGGCAAACTCCCCGTGACGTACTCGATATGCCAGACACAGTAACAAGTCTCATGATGGAGACGTTACTCGGCCCGCTCGAGCAAATCGATGAACAACAGGAGGACCGTGACCGTGACCGTACTTTTCAGCTCAGCGACTGAGTGAGGCAGGGCTGACTGATGATGATGGTCTTGAGTTCTGGTTCTAGTTTCAGAACCCATTCTTCTTTCTTTGTCGGGTAAGGCTATGTGCAAGCACTGCAGTGTCTACTCGGGCTGTGTCCTTGAGAACGTTCAGGATCAACAGCCCAGCAGCTAAAACTTGCCAGAGTCTCTGTTGCAGCCCCCTGCCTCCTCCCCGACTCCTCTAGTTTTTAGGGGCTGTGAGTGGAGTAACTCCCAGCTGTGTTGGAGGTTCCTCCTGGCTCTGTGCTCAGGAGTGACTCCTGGTGGAGCTTGAGGGACCCATGCCACGGGTCCAGCTGGAGTTGGCAGCCTGCAAGGCCACCACTTTAATCCTCGTATACCTCTCCCGTCCTTGTCCCCTCCCCTGCTATTTTCTTGTGTGTGTGTGTGTGTGTGTGTGTGTGTGTGTCAGGGTGGCGGGAGGTTCAGCCACATGTGGTGATGCTCAGGGGTTACTCCTGACTCTGCACTTATGAATCATTCCTGGCAGTGCTCAGGGGACCATAAGGAAGGCTGGGGGATCAATATAGGTGGGCCATGTGCAAGGCCCTACCCCCAGTACCATCTCTCCAGCCCCTCACTGTTCTTTCATTAAACCAAAGGCATGTGAAGAGACCCACATGTTTTCTGAAAGATCTGAGTTGGAGGCAGGCCTTTCTGAGAGGTGCAGAAGAGTAGAGACCTGGTCAGAACATCAGGCCCGACTCTTCAAAGGGCCAGGTACGTAAAAGGAGCTGGGTGGAGAGGCCAAGGTGACCATTCTAGATCAAAGAGCTTAAAGAAATGAAGCACTGAGTTGAAACAGGTGAGTGGGATCCATGGGAAAAGGCTGCACATGGCAGTTTGTAGGGCGTGAAAAGTTCCAGACCTCTTCCACTGCATGTCTACCTAGGGGTGTTCGATTGATCATCCTGGTTGAGCACTGCAGAGGTCCCTGTTCTGGGGACCCACACACAGCCCGCAGCCTGGCTGGCCGGTGCTCCCGTGCATCTGTACACTCTACTGGATCTCGCTCTAACTGTGAAGAGACATTCTTGGCAGAGCACCCCCTGGGCTGACAGGATGCAGTGAGCTGTGCCTGGGACAGCTTTTAGATGTCCTTCTTTTTGGCCTCACCCAGTGGTGCTCAGGACTTATTTCTGGCTCTGCGCTCAGGATCACTCCTGGAGTGGTTGGGAGAGCATATGGGATGCCAGGGATTGAACCCAGGTCGGCCACATGCAAGGCAGGTCCCTACCTGCTGTACCATCACTCGGCCGCAGGGCAGGATGCTCCCGGCTCACCCCACACTCACCCCTGGGTGGACAGAGACTCGGGGCCTGTGTTCCAGGCGCCCGCCCGGCTGCCCTCCGTGCTGGAGAGCTGAGGGCCCGTGTCCTTACACTCTATCCGGATCTGCTCCAGCTCGGTCACCTCTGCAATGGACTCTTTCAGATCCTCCACAAACTTCTGCATCTCGTCTGAGCCCAGGGCACAGAAGTGCAGCGCCTGCTTCTTCTCAGAGCCAGACAGCGGGGTCACCAGGGTGATTCCGTGAGAATAATCTGGAAGCCAGACCCCAGGCCCCCATGGGCTGTGAGCAGCAGCAAAGGAGGCTGCCACCAGCCTGATGGGAACTTGGGTTGGTGGGGATCGACCCCTCCCCACTCCCTCCTGCCCACAGTCCCCCACCCTCCCTCACCCCACCACTGCCCTCTGCCGGATCTCCGGGCAGCCGAGACGTACATTCATTCTCGAAGAGCTGGAACTGCATGCCCAGCAGGCCGACGGACTTGCAGAAGGTGTACGTGGAGGAACTCTTCTTCTTGGGGCAGAGCTTGAGAATCTGAGCAAGAGGCCGGGATACAGGCACAGATGGTGTCAAGGGTGTGTGCACACTTGGAACAGCCAGGACGCGTGGGAGCACACAACGTACACACACACACACACACACACACACACACACACACACACACACGTCCATAGCCACCCTCCTGCTCTGGTGTCAAAGCCTCACTCGAGCTAGCCCACTCCCTACTCTGGGTTGCTCTCATGCTGTGCTGTCTACTCTCCACCTCTCTCTAGCAGGATCTGGAAGATCAGCTCCACCACAGACCCCTCTTCTCTGCATATATGCTTATCTCTTCTCCAACTGTTCCCGCCACCTCCTCCTGGTAGATGCAAGGACTCCTTAGAGTCCTTCCCTGATCATCCTAGCTATGAAACAAAAGAAAACAAAACAAAAAACTACAAATCGGGGGCTGGAGCAATAGCACAGCGGGTAGGGCATTTGCCTCGCATGCGGTCCACCCGGGTTTGATTCCCAGCATCCCATAGGGTCCCCCGAGCACCGCCAGGAGTAATTCCTGAGTGCAGAGTCAGGAGTAACCCCTGAGCGTCACTGGTTATGACACAAAAAGCAAAAAACAAACAAACAAACAAAACAACAACAAAAAGAATACAAATCAACCAAATTCTTCACCTTAACACTCTACCTAGTTGCACTTTTCTTTTTTCTTTTGAGGGTGGACATGGGGCCACACCTGGCTCTGCACTCGGGGATAACTACTGGTAATGCTTAGGGGTCCAAGTGGTGCCAGGGATTGAACCCAGGTCAGCTGCCTATAAAGGTAAGTGCCTGAACCCCCTGAACTACTACTCCAGTCCCAGATGACGGTTTTATTGTTTTCACTGCTGCTTTCCCGGTTTGATAGTACCTTATAGATATCATTTCTTGTCATTTTTCTTAATCATTTTCTATCACCCTCCCATATTAAAATGTAGCCTCAGCCCATAAGTATTTCTTCAGCAGTTTCTATGAGGCAGGAGTCTGGGGAGACAGAATGCAGACCTTAAACCAGAGAGAGAGCACTTTCTGCAGCACTGCTTCTGCCATGGGCTGGGCTGGGACGCCGTGGGACACCGTCATTGTATGAATCAGCTCGACAATCAGGCATAATAAGCATAATAAGCAAAAATGGATCCTGAAGGAGGTGAGCAAGAGGCAGGGCCGGACAGGCCTACTCGCAAGGTAAGGACCCCGAGGCTCACATGGAGACTGGAATAGGGTGGGGGTGGGGGTGCAGCAAAGATCCAAGGGAGCTACTAGCAGGAGTGATGGGAACCAGGACCTGACAGATTAAGTCTGACCTAGAGGAGGCAGCCTGGGGTGGTCACCAGAGCAGCAAGGTACTGCGGAGAACCGGGATCAGTGTGTCATGTGCCAAACTTATTTTCATTGTTATGTTAAATGTCATTCTTATAATTCCTCAAAACCACACTTAATTAAGGGCAGCAACATCCTTGCGGTTCAGGATTTAAGAAGGCATCATCCATCCGCTGCTTGGTCCTGAGGAATTAGGAGACATCTCTGTGCTGATAAGCACTGGGGGACGTGTGTCCTGACCATTAGCAGCCTTCTGTGCTTGCGTGGGATTTACGGAGAATATCTGTGCAGCTGAAGGCCAGGATAAAGTGCGCTCTAACCCTGAACAGCATACAGGATCATTTGCTCCAGTGTGGATAGTGTCTTGCTCTCCCTTTTGATGTATGGATGTAACTGTATCTTGTTTTCCTTGCCACATTAAGATATGAGAAAACTGCTTCATTTTCCATAAAAACCTAAGTAAAAATGGTAGCTAATTTTGCAACACTTTAATTGACACTTTGGAATGTACTTTTGGAGTATAAATGTAACCTCAGGTTTTGAATTACTTGTCCAATGGCTTTGAGTCCCATGACCCACCTCAACCCCTGGGACCATGTGATGAAATAAACTTCTGTCCCACTCGCCTTCAGTGTCCCAGCAGTTCTGAGGGTGTGGTCAGGGGAGACTGGACCTGCTCCGGCCAGCCGGCACAAGGAGCCACGAACTGCAGCAAGGCAGATATGAAGTCTGATCTGCACTCTGGAGGAGCTGTGCCTTCCAATAGGAATCACTCAACATGGAAATGCTTTCGTGCTCAAGCCAGTGTGATTCAGTGACAGAGAGGAAGTACCAGAGAGGCAGAACAGGGATGAAGCGCTTGCCTTACATGTGATTGACCCCTTGTGCAGCACATAGGGCCTCCTGTGTACTACCAGGAGCAACCCCTGAGCACAGAGCCAGGAGTAAGCCCTGAGCAAGCTGGGAAGGCACAAAAACAAAACCCTCCACAATACAAAAACTAAGGAGGGGTATGGAGGTGGCCTAAGAGAGAAGAATGATGCTTGACTGCTTGCCACAGAGTGGGCACTCCACTGCTATGAACGCGCGCACGCACACACACACACACACACATACACACACACACACACACACCCTTCCCAGAAACAGTAAAGCGCCCACTCAGCCCTACTGAATTCATTCTTGTCCCTTCCATGCCCCAAGTTTCTGGCAACGTAGGAAAGAGGCAGGTGAGTTGGGATTAGTGTCAGTTCCACCAGGATGGTGGAACCTCAGCCTGTCATCTGGGAAAGAAGATTTGAGAACACCTGTCACAGCCTCTGTTGGAAGGGTGATGGGAAGGCAAGTCTACCACTAAGGAGAGAACCCAGTGGGACTGGATCTCGGAGGCCCCGGGACTCACCACCAGCAGGTCATTGAAGAGGAACACCTCCCGCTGATGGGCAGCCTGCTTCTGCAGCTTGTTCACATCTGTCACCTCGAAGAGTCGGCTACAGCAGACCAGGCGGCGGTGGGGCGCCGACAGCACCTGGCCAGAGGCACTTGTTCAGCCAGAGAGCCCCTCGCACCCCAGGTCCTTCCTCACAGCACCCTGATCTGAGGTGGCTCTGGCTCTATTGCAGTCTCGACCTTTCCCCAAGCCTCCCCCCCGCCCCACCCCCCTGTTCCCAGGAGCTCTTACTCCTTCAGGAGAGCCAGGCTGAGAGAAAAGGGGGTTCAGTCGACTGGAACAAATGAGGAGATACAAGGTGGGGACAGGAATATCCAGAAGCACTCTCGGGTTATTCGAACCTAGTTGCTTACAGGTCTTTTCCTCTGGTTACACAAACCTTCATAAGGTCACCCCAATGTCCCAGGCTTTGCCCTGCAGGAGATCACCTCTGGCAAGTGGGAGGGCATTGCAGGGACAACTCAAATCTGCCCAGCATGCCAAACAATCTATTACAGAAGCATCTGCCAACCAGACTGAGGCAATAAGTGATGGTAGAAGAGAACTATCGCTTCATGGACAGGCAGACAGGCATTGGGTAGAACCTTGGACAAGGTCCTCAAATTGCTTCCCAAGGCAGCAACTTAGGAGAAGGATCTGGCATGACACCAAAACACACTGCAGCTTTCCCAGTTGTATCACTAGATTCTACAACACACAAGTAAAGAATCAAGCTCTGGAGAAGGCCACCTTAAAATCCACTGCAACTTGGCATGAATGTCTGTGGCACAGGTTGCAATAAAGAGATACACCCACACTTTGAGTTGTTACAGTTTTAGCCTATGTTAGCTTGTTTCCTGTTTTTGTCCAGTGGGGTCACCCCAGAGTCAGCAGGACCAAGTCTATCTGAAGAGAAAGACAAAAGAATCCTAAACCACACTCTGGCCATCTGGTCAACCCTGGATCACTGTGTATTTCCTCCTGCCATCTCATCGTTCCAGTCTCTCTTGACACAATGATAAGAGGCAAGTGACAATGAGGAATCAGGCAAGGGGGAAAGAAGGGGCACTGCATGGAGTACAGGAGGCTCAGTAACTAAAGGGAGATTTTGAAAGGAAAGGAGCAAATGCCAGAAAGATAAGAATGAAGAAAACTGGCAGCCATGAGAGAAGTGACCCATGCCTATGTGGTGAGTGAGGCTTTGCAGGGACACTTACTGTCTTCATGCCCACGATGGACTTCTCCACCTTGGTGACATAGGTGACATGATCTTCGTTGGACTTGAGTTCCTTCTGCTGTATCCTTTCATAGATGCCCACCACCAGCTCCCTGGGGATGTCGGCACCATCATCCACACCTAAAATGTGGGTGGAATGGGAGGGTAGCAGGTGTCAAGGCCTAGGGACACGGAGGGGATACTACCCCTGTCAGACAGATGGTCTTATAGAGTGACTCTATTCTGCCCTATTCCTTCAGTGGCTGGTTGGACACACCCTTTCAATTAAACACACACTCTCAGCCAGGCACCCAGTGCAGCACTCTCCTCCTTTTCTGCCGTTCTCTCACCAGGACCTAAGCTCTCTCTTCTTCCAGGACTCCTTTCACCTCTTCAAATATAGTCTGTCTACCTGGTCAGTGCCTTTATTCCCACATTCCTCTGCTCTGCACTTTGGCTGACTGCTCCTTGCCCACAAAAGCACATATTCTACGAAGGCAAGGGATGTTGCAGGGGGCTGTCGAGGGACCTTTGACATATGGCTTAGGTCCCAGGTGCCTGATACATAAGTGACTGGAAAACATGCCCAGTGTCCTTGGTTATCTGGTGTGACCACCTACAAAGAGTCAGGGAAGGAACATGGGCTGGAAGGAGGTGCAAGGAGGGTCTGCCCCTCCTCTCTCCCAGCCTGCCTACCTCTCAGGTTCCGGATAAAGTCCTCCAGCATCATCTTCCGGTCAGGCTTAATGTTGGGGCTGTACATGTCGGTGTTGAGGAGGATGATGGCGAAGGCGAGGATGAAGATGGTGTCAGGGTTGTGGAACTGTTGCACCACCTCAGGGTTGCACATGCAGTAGCGCTGACTGTGGGGGGACACAGAGCAGGTAGCTGGGGGTCCCTCCTCACCCCTTCCCAGCAGAGGGGACAGCGTAGGGGGCAACTCAGTTCTCTGAGGTCCCCGGCTGAGCCTGTTGGCCACTGTCTGCCCATACCCTGATCCTACTCCCCAGAGAGGACCCGGGGCCCTGGCACAGATGCTGCTCCAGCTGAGAGAGGCCAGAGCATCTGCCTTTCTGGGCCGCAGCTGTAGGACAGTGGGGCGGCGCTTGCCTTGCATGCCAGCTGGCCTGAGTTTGATCCCCAGCATCCCATAGAGTCTCCCAAGCACTGCCGGGAGTAATTTCTGAGGGCAGAGCCAGGAGTAACCCCTGAGTACTGCTGGGTGTGCTCCCCCAAAACACAAAAACAAACTGAGCTTCTGCTCTTCTCGCCTCTGGGCAGCTCACCCCTTCTCCCCAGGCTGGTCTCTGACCGGCCCTCCAGCAACTCCTGCTCCCCGGGGCAGCTCTGCCTTTGTGCCCCAGCTCTGCAGCCCTTACCCCGTTTGCCCCTGGTGGGTGTTTGGGGGGACTGGGAGGGGAGCAGGGCTGGGGAAGGGGCGCACCTGAAGGCCTCGATGAGCCGCTCCACCTTCTGGGCCTCCCCCTGCACTCGGATATGAGCCTGGAACTTTCGCAGGGCCTCATCCAGCTCCATGCTGGAGAAGTCCATCTCGTCCACCACGCAGCTGAGGGTGAGGAGAGAAGGGGGTGAGGAACTTCCCAGCACCACCAGGAACAAGCACACAACTGCAGGCAGGACCCTCCTACCCAGAGGATGACAGAGGGATGTGGTTCATGGGAGGAGGAGGAGGTTGTGTAGGCGTCCCAGGCCTTCACTAATGCCCAGGGGTCCCCCTTGAGTGGCGTGGGCCAGAGCCACGGGGGTGCTGTTAGCCAGAGGGGACCTGAATGGGGGAAGTGGCACCCCCCTGTCTAGGCGGGTGCGATGGAAGCTGGGTGCTGGAGACCGCTTGGATTTCACCCCAGCTCTGGGCATCTCTCCAGCTGGAACGTGGCCTGAGGTAACCTAGGGGGCCCCCAGAATGTGTGCCCAGGCCAGCCTGGCGTGGAATCAGATGGAGTACGAGCCACTCCACACTGCCAAAGCAGGCAGGTCAGTGGGTCACAGAGCAAGGGACCTGTGTGAGAGCTGGGGACAGACAAGGAGACAGGGAGAGAGAGCTAAGGGGCCAGGAGATTGAGGGACAGGGGAAGAAAGCAACACACAGACCCACTCAAAGCAGGACAGCCAGGCAGGAGCCGGGAAACACACACAGTGTCAAAGGAGAGACAGAGAGACGCCTCCGGAGAGATGGGACAAGTGTGCAGGGTTCTTGCCTAGCAGGTGGGCCAGCCCGGATTCAATCCCTGGCATCGCCATGGTCCCGTAGGCTTGCCAGGAGTGAGCCCTGAGCACAGAGCCAGGAGTAAGACCTGAGAACACATAGCTGGGTGTGGCCCCCAAACCAAAAAAATTATAAATAAAAATAGAGAGACAGAAAGAAGTGAAGGACATGAAATGCCACAAACAGATGGGGGTCCTAGAAAGATAACTCACACCCCTCACCCCAGAGGACCCTCTCACTTTTTTTTTTTTTTTTTGGTATGGTCTAAGGAAAGGGCAGTGAGTCCTGGTACCAACCGTAACAGAGAGTTCTGGACAGACGACCCAGGATGCCTCAGGGTGCCCTGTCCTGAGGAGCAGCTGCTACCTAGCACTTGCCCCTCTCGTGCTCTGGCCGTTCCATTTAGGCCCCTGAACCCTGCAGCCCTCACGAGTGACCCTCCCAGAGCCAGGATAACAGTGTGGGTGTCTGCAGGCCTGGACGGAGCGGGGATGCACAGGAGGACCAGCAGCGGGGCCGAGGGCTCTGCTCAGCCGAGCATGATGGCCTAGTTTCCAGCCCTGCACCGTGGAACATGCAGCCAGCTAAGTCGCTTGAGGCAGTGGCTAAAAGCTTCAGCAATGAGCAGAAGCCCAAGACCCGGGGCCCCTGGAATGGAGCACAGTCGTGTGGAAAACCCGGTCCTAGACGAGGACTAGGATGGCTTCAATCACGGGGCGACAGAGCAGGAGGCCGGGGACGGGTGGAAGGACTTTAGGGGAGTTTCTCTGGGCTTTGGGGAGGCTTGGGACGTGTTTTGCTGGTGCCAGGAGCCAGCTCAAAGGCCCTGAATGTGGCACTGCAGGTGGTAGGTCCGGGTTCAAGGCCTGGCACAAAATGGTCCCCCAAGTACTGTGGGGAGCGACCTTCCAAACTGAGCCAGGTGTTGGCCCGGAGAGCACTGCCAGTTGTGGCCAGTAAACCAAAAACAAAGAGACCCCTGGACTCCCCCCTGAGCTACAGAGCACAGTACTTGGAGGAACCTAGGAATCTGCATTTCACAAACCCTCCAGGTGATTTTTTTTCTTTTTTGGGGTCACACCCAGCGATGCTCAGAGGTTACTCCTGGCTCTGTACTCAGGAATTATACCTGGCAGTGCTCGGGGAACCATATGGGATGCCAGGAATTGAACCCTGGTCGGCAGAGAGCAAGACAAATGCCCTCCCTGCTGAACTATCACTCCAGCTCCCCCCTCCAGGTGATTCTCAAACACCAAAAAACAGGGTAGGGAAATAGCTCACCGGGTTGGAGCATAGTGTCCCTGTGCACCTCTGGGGTCACTGTGCTTGGAGTTACTTCTGAACACTGTCAAGAGCAACTCCCTAAAGAAAACGGAAAGTCAGAGGCTAGGGAAATAACTCAGGGGTCAGGGGCACAAGTCTCTCATGTGAAAGACCTCGAATTCCATCCCCAGCACCACATAATATCCAGAGCAACATTGCCTGGTGGTACCCAAGTACCACCAGAGTGACCCAAGTGCTCCCTCAGCATTCTGGGACCAAGCAGCACCACAACGCTGGACCCAGCCATTGAACGCTCTGACCCTTTTGGCCCAGTATCTCCGGGAGTATCCTCGGCCCGACCCAAACACAAACAATTGAAAACCGCTGACTCAGCTGAATGCAAGCAGAGGAGAGGACCCAGCCCAGGTGGATGCTTTTAAAATGTGAGCCCAACCTCCCCGAAATCTCCCTGTTCTTCCAGAAGCCTGGCTATCACACCCATGAACTGCCTCTGGCATCAAATAAGCTCATTTACCAAATAAACTCATTAACTGTCCATGATTCAGAGACTCATCAATGAATCTGGAAAGAGATCAATAAGTTGAAGAGATGCTTCCGGACCCCTCACTAGGCTCTGTGATCTGGGGCGCCCAAAGTCATCATTCAAACTCTTATACCACTGGTAAACCAGGAGTAGCACACCACATGGGATGATTGTAGAGCAGAAGGCAACCAACCTCAATGAAGAAAATATAAACACACGAGGCTTAACTTGTTACAACATGTTCGTAATCTACAAGGGCTTAATAGCTCCATGGTGAGATACAATAATAGTCACACTTTCTTCTAAGGAAACATTTTTGATAATTTTTAGCGAATCATAACAAGCAATATAAAATAAATTATTCAGGGCCTGCTATAAGGGCAGGCTTGAGGGGTGGTTGGGAAAATTGGAAATAATGGTGGTGGGAAGGTACAATGGTCCTGGGATTGGTGTTGGAACACTGAATGTAATAAATCATGAACAACTTTATAAAATTAATTTAAAAAATTAAAAATAATAAAATATGACCCCAGTTGCTGGAGTGATATGAAAGTACAGCAGGTAAGGTACTTTGCCTTGCATTCAGTCATACGGGTTCAATCCCAAGTACCCCAGACTTATCCAGAAGGGATTTCTGAGTGCAGAGCCAGGAGTAAGCCCTGAGCATCACCAAGTCTGGTCTAAAAACAAACAAAAATAAGTGAGCCCAGGGGTTAGAGGAATAGAAGAGCAGGGAGGTCGCTTGCCTTGCATGCGGCAGATGCAGATACGATCCCCAGTACCCCATATGGTTCCTTGTATCTATAGGACTGAACCCTGAATTACAGAGCCAAGTGTAAGCTCTGAGCACCACCGGGTGTGGCCCCAAACCAATAAATAAGTCACGGTCACTGTCCTCCCGTTGTTCATCGATTTGCTCGAGCGGGCCCAGTAACGTCTCCATTGGAGACTTTGTTGTTACTGTGTCTGGCATATCGAATATGTCACGGGGAGCTTGCCAGGCTCTGCCGTGCGGGCGAGATACTCTGGGTAGCTTGCCGGGCTCTCCGAGAGGGGCGGAGGAATCGAACTCGGGTCGGCCATGTTGGCTGCGTGCAAGGCAAACACCCTACCCGCTGTGCTATTGCTCCAGCCCATTAAATAAGTAAGTAAGTAAATAAATAAATAAATAAAACGTAAGCCCAGCAATGCACAGGCCACCAGCCCAGGGGGACACATGTCTGGCTCTCATCCATGGCTGTTTTGATGAGGTGGGGTTGGTGAAAGCATCTCTTTCAGGATGGTCAGACAGTCCCTATTTTAGATTTGACCTGCTCTTTCATGGTTTGACTTGTGCTGAGTCAATACTTGGCATTACCAGTTTTAGGCAGACTTCAGATAAAATGATCCCAAACTTAGTATCTTCCTTCCTTGCCTCCCCAGTTAAAAACAGAAGCACAGGGTCTGGAGAGACAATACAGCAGGTAAGGCATTTGCCTTGCACGCAGCCAGCCTAGGCTCAATCCCTATTACCCGATATGGTCCCCTAATCCCCACCAGGAGTGAGTACAGAACCAGGAGTAAGCCCTCAGTACCACCAGATGTGACCCCAAAAGCAAACAAACAAAAACCAAAAAAAAAAAGTATGCACATTTGTTGAGTAGAATTCGCAATTACTCCAGGAAGCTGAAAGCACATTCTTTTTATTTATTTATTTATTTATTTAAATGCTCAGGGGTCAGCGATCTTTTAAAAATGCTCTGGTTCTGTGCTCAGGGATCACTACTGGCAGGCTCAGGGGACCACATGGGATGCCAGGGACCAAATGTAGGTTGGCCGCGTGCAACCCTCCCTGCTACACTGTTGTTCTCGCCCAGGGAAACACATTCTTGTTCACGTGCCAAGGGGGTGTGGGTTCTCATCATGCCTGTCCAGCATGACTTCTGTCCCCTTCATTCTCTCTGCCCACCCACCCCTCTAAGGCCCTGCTGTCCCTTCTAGCTTCTGGGCACCTCCCCATCTCCCTGTGGCTACAGTTGAGGGGGAAGGTCTCAGTTCTTGCTGTGACGGCGTTAGCCTGGATGCCCTTCTACCTCTCTCCCTCTCTGTCTCCAGAACAGTCTCTCCGGGCTACTCATTGGGTCCTGTTGCTCACTGCTCTGCTTGGATTTTGTTCCGAATCTCGCCACCTCTCTGAGGTTATCCCAGTTATCTAGCTGAGCCCCTTCCACCCTTCCGCTTCTGGCTTCTTCCTGCAGGCCTGTTCTCAAGACAGTCCCCCCTCCCCATTTAGTACGTGCTCTCCTGTCTTCCCCCCACTCCACCCCAGCCCTGCAGGTCTCTGGTGAGTGCTTTATCTCGCGGCTGTCTCCCGTCCCCTGGACCTGGGTCCTGCCTTACATCTGATATGACAGCATGGCCCTAGTTTATGAACACTGCTTTTTATTGTCGCAGCATCCCTGCTGACTTTTAGAGGTCAAGAACCGTCGGGGCAACAAGTAAGGGGGTGAGTGAGAGAGAGGCCAGCCAAATGAATGAATAAGAATTTGAGCCT